ATGAAACACAAGTTTTAATAACTTCACTAACTTCTGCGAAGTTCTACCCGGTATAGCGCCAGTATATTGCTGCTAAACCAGGTGACTAACAATATTGGATGCATTATTTCGTTATGGTGATGATATGGTTGACGCTGATACTCGTTGAGATGCGTATCACTTTAGTAAAACCTCTCCGTAATCAGGAAATTAAAATTTTTAAGTATTCTGTGAAGTTCGTTGAGTATCTTAAATAGTTTAACGATCTTAATATGAGCAACTCAAGTTTTCATATGAAAACTTACGAAAACGAACCTACCTAGGCATCTACTAAAATCTGGGGCATGCTCGGTCACGTCACTATTGTGGCATCTTGCTTCTCAATTCCAATTTCTTGGTCCCTAGATGGTACTATAAGCCCGAAATTTTTGTCGTAAAGTGCGTTCCCTGGTTTAAATGACGAATAAATTCCATTTTATATGCTCTTCCTATTTTCGAAGCTATTTATGTGAAAATTCACTGAGTTTAACAGCATTGCCTCGATCACCATCGATGCTCAAAAAAATGCGAAGATACAATATTTCCGTAAACAGGGAAATATCTGCTATTTAATACACTGGCTTTGCTTAAATACAGACAACTAATTATAGATTACTTAAAGAGAGCAGACAGTGTAAAATTATAAAGGTACTTCTTGTTAACCTTACATTGCATTTATTCTTTTCTTGGACGTCACAACGTTTTGGATGGAGACTGCTAAGATTTAATAGTCCTTATTTGCATAAAATCGTCAGTCCTAAGACTGGTTGGACACGCACCTCCACTCTTTCCAATCCTGAGATAATCTCCAACTATTTGTAAACAGTAATCTAATCAAGGTCCACCTCTACTCCTCTTAACTCCTATTTCTGCTTCTAATACGTCTTTGACTAGCTCTTCATCCCGGAGAAGGTGACCTCCCAATCTATCTCGCCTATTTCTTATAGACTTCCATATAGTCCTTGGTTCTCCTATTCTTTCTAATACCTTAATTCATTTCTAACCTTCTCTATCCACGGTATCCTCATCATACATCATCGTCATAAGGTCGTCAGTCCTAAGACTGGTTAGACACGCACCTCCACTCGTCCCTATCCTGCGATAATCTTTGCATTTTCCTAAAGCTAGAGCAACCCATATCCTTAACTATTTGCGAACAGTCTACCTAAACCCCCCTGACTTCCTTTTCTGCCTCTAATATATCTTTGATCAGACCTTCACGCCTGAGAAGATGTCCTACCAACCTATCTCGCCTATTTTTTTAATGACTTCCATATTCTCCTATTCTTTCTAATACCTTGTTATTTCTAACCTTCTCTATCCACGGTATCCTCATCATTCGTCTGTAACACCACATTTCTAACGCTTCTAATCTTTTCTTTTCCACGGCGCCCACTGTCCATGTTTCGCACCCGTACAGCACCGTGCTCAAACATACATCTTTAACAATATTTTTCGAATTTCTAAATTAATCGTTCGCTAGCATAGAAGTGACTCCTTTTTAAGATTTGTGTAAAATAATTATACCTATTGGTCTACAAACCTACAATTTTTCTATTTGTATTGCTTGTGGTTTGCGAGCGTGGCTTTTGTTGTAATATTATCGTTGTGTTTGTGGACATTCAGTTGTTGATACTCAGTTGACAATTTTGGATCTTGCTGATTTGTGTCCGCTAGTGTGACCGAGTTAGCGATGCATCTAAGTGCTTGAGACGGACGGACTTTTACAGGAACGGGCGAGGACGACGGCCGAAATTGGTTGTTGGTTGGTGTAATTCAAACTTCGGTCAAGTCTCGAAGCCTATGCAAACAAGGAGTTCGCAGAGAAACGACCGACGTAATAGACGTTCGATGTATGTGTATGTAAATGTTATGCAAAGTAGTGCGCTTTGTAAATTTTCAATATCTGTTACGAGTCCCTGGAGCAGCGACGGGAGCGTGAGTATATATGTATATCGACCACTTCTTGCCACCCGCGATAACGGATCGTATTAAAACCGTACCCTCACTGATGAAATGTAATCTCAATCTCGTCGATCTGTCTTCAACTAACACCCTTTTCTCTCTCGTGTTTTCTTTCTGACTCGATTTTTCCTTTGATTTCGATTTCTAAGGTAAAAAAACAATCGTTTTTAGGGTTCCGTACATTAAAAAGAAAAAAGAACCCTTACAGGATTATTTCGTTGTCGGTCTGTATGTCTGTCTCGTTCAAGAACCTTTTCCTAAGGAACGCGCGGAGATATCAAAAGTTGAAATTAATATCTAATACTCTGGTCTACAATTCCTTGGAGATGTGAAAAAAATCAAACTTCTAAGTCAATGCAATTAAAAGATACGATCGTTATGTCGTATATTCTGACACTCACAAGCCTATAGGGTACTTCCCGTTGACGTATTTAAGAAAAATTCTTCAATGAAGAATCTAATAAAAGAAGAAATGAAAAGGAAAAGTCATAAATACAGATTTTCTATAAGTAACATCCAAAGTATTGTCTGTTACTAATAATTTTTGCAATTTCAAATTCAGATCTGGCTTCCAATTGTTTTTTTTTAAGTAACATATTTTTGTTTCATGCATTATAAATCCGTTTTTCTTAGCTTCCTTTGGCTATGTAAATGGCTTTTGGATCCCAACATTGTATGGATGTCAGAAACCGAATGCAGAAACATACATTATTTTAATAGACGTGACTGAAATACGTAAACGAAAAAGCACTACCATTTAGTTATTAAAAGGAATGCGTTTTTTCTCCATAGTGTAGAATACATTTCATGTCCTCCGATTACTATACATATAAAAGCAATCCTCTGTAATGAAACTCGAGGAACCGAGTGCATTCTTTTGCAACGGGGTAACTTTTATTCTAGTAATAATAATAGTCACTTTGTCGGGTAAATGTCTGGGAGGCGGCATAGGGAGAGAATTTAAATCGTAGGTACATAGATATATATATATATATACAAATAAATATATTTCGTTCCCCAAAAAGATAAAAAAAGGTTTTCCGTTTCTTTTTTTTTTTTTTCGTTAAATATGTTTTAGTATATTACGTGGATATATGTGTGTATTCAGCTAATCTATTCCGTTTGAGTAAAAAATTCGGGACGGTAGGGTGCATGTTTAACCGATTTACGACAGAAATAAACATATGTACGTGCTCGGGAAAGAAACGTTGCCAACGATGAATAATAAAAAGGGAAACAAAACGATGCCTCTTTTTCGAACGTTTTAGGGAGTGTTAACGCTATCACGCACGACCTAACTCTTATCTTAAGCGTATAGAATTTTTACGTGAGGGAAATGGTAAACAATCAGCTGCAGACGCATCAATCGACTAACTAACCTTGTTGAAATAGAACTGACGGAAATTATGAAATTTGGAACATTAAATTTGGTATTGATCTTGGTCTTGCTTATTCGGTGTTGATCTTGATGTTACTCAAATAGGTACTTCTGGTCTTGGTATTGATCTTGGTCTTGCTTATTCGGTTTTGATCTTGACCTTGCTCAAATACTTCTGGTCTTGGTATTGATCTTGGTCTTTGATCTTGACCTTGCTCAAATAGGTACTTCTGGTCTTGGTATTGATCTTGGTCTTGCTTATTCGGTTTTGATCTTGACCTTGCTCAAATACTTCTGGTCTTGGTATTGATCTTGGTCTTGCTTATTCGGTTTTGATGTTGGTCTTGCTCAAATACTTCTGGTCTTAGTATTGATGTTGATCTTGCTTACTCGGTTTTGATCTTGATCTTGCTCAAATACTTCTGGTCTTGGTATTGATCTTGTTCTTGCTTATTCGGGTTTGATGTTGGTCTTGGTATTGATCTTAGTCTTGATTATTCGAGATTATTCGGTGTTGATCTTGGTCTTGTTTATTCGGTTTTGATGTTGGTCTTGCTCAAATACTTCTGGTCTTAGTATTGATTTTGATCTTGCTTACTCGGTTTTGATCTTGATCTTGCTCAAATACTTCTGGTCTTGGTATTGATGTTGGTCTTGCTTATTCGGTTTTGATCTTGGTATTGCTCATATACTTATCCTAGTATTAGTCTTGGTGTTGCTGATATAGTCTCGGTCTTGGTCTTGGTCTTACGTGTTAAGTCTTGGTCGTGCTCATTTAGTCCGACACTTACGCTTTTTTTAATAATTGTAAGCCTAAATTTTTGTATTTACCGACACAATAATTGTCTTAAATGCGAAAATTTTCTGTCATGCGTATGAGTTTTAATGACTTAAAAAAAAATGGTGCCTGGTAGTTGTGAGAGAAACTCGAGAACTTACTCTTCCTCTAACGCATAAATTGACCTTTTAGCGAACAAAGCGAAAGTACTTGAAAGAAGCAAACAGTGGTAAAGCTTTTATTATATTTAGTTTTAAAATCTAGTAAAGCATTTAGTGTTGGTCTTGCATTTTCGGTCTTGATTTTAACCTTGGTCTTGTGCTTGGTCTTGCTACTATAAAAACGGTGTTACTCTTTGTATTTTCACAAGACCAAAACCAAAACTACAAGATCAAGATCAGTTTTGCTCATTACTAGCTCATCTACTGATTGGATACTCAATCATCATCGTTTCTGATATTCCTATTTTTGGAATATTGAAATATTTAATTGTGTACCCTACTTGCACAGAATCTGTCTTTATACCTATATAATAGAATATCCCAATGTTCGGTTCTCAATTCTCTACCAGCGTATAGGAACGTATATCATATCATATCATATTTATTAAGGATCGGGACGATAATAATTAATAGAGTGACAGTCTGTGGATATGTTTTTGTCGAATCTGTCGGAGGCTTTTCTCCTATAAACGGGACGAAAATTGTCGGTTGCTGTAGGCTTGCCGTAAAGCGTCCCGTAGTAGACTTTGTTGGCCTTATTAAATCGCTAACAGGATAGAAAAGTTCTCGTCGGGAGTTTTTCTTTTATGTCCCTGCTTCAAACCATTTGTCATCTAACCGTAACATTTTTTCTTTGCAGTTACGGTTGTCAGCGTAGCCATGTCGGATGATATAAAGGACACGAGGGAGGGTGACGACGTCACTCTCGAGTGCCGCTTCGCACCCCAGACTTCCAGGGAGTCCCTCACGTACTATTGGGCGAGGAGCAATCGACAAACGCACGATAACGTCGCCATCGGACCCGTGCCTCTTGACAACAATTACAGGTAAGATTAATTGACTTTTTAACAATTAATATCTGACGGCACTTTTCGTTTCGTGGTCCTACTTAAATTAAAAGCAAAAGTTCGACGCTTCGAAACCACCGCGATTCATTAGATTTTTTTATGTTTTATTAGAAATCGTAGTACTACATCCTTTAAAATATTTGAAGTAGACCAAGCCGAAACGTCAAGAAGCACCCCGATTATTTTTTATTTCATTCTTTAAGAAGGAAATTTTATTCTTTTTGTGATAATCAAAATTAAGTTTATTTCCGAAATCTTCTGCCATAAAAGAATTTCAATAAAATTAAGCTTTACTTTTGTATTCGGGTCTTTAAAAAGATATTCCTAACATAATTTAATGAGTTCCTAATATAATCGGTATATAAATAGGCTTTTCTAACTTCTACAAACTTCTGCTTACAGTTTACAGTACCCTACCTGGTACTAACATCTCAAAATGCTAGAACTTCATCACGCTTCATGGTTTTAGTCTTTTCTTATATAGGATTTTACTAGCATACACCAAAATTATTTTAAATTATGACATTACACAATTCCTTAGCTTTCTGTAGCACGTAAAGTCATTAATAGATCCGTTTAAGTGCAGATGAACTAGCCATAATCTATTAGGTAATCTCCACGTTCTTTTTCATAGTAGGTATCGTATTTTTCATATAGATCTATTCCATTACATCTAAGGGAATCTTAAATTTTACAAATATGTCTACGTTTAATAGTTTTCTACTGTTACATTGTGATTAAATTACAACAATATTTTGTAATGTCGTATACTTATGTGTACGAACGTACGTAGTATTTTTAGCTGATGTATGTGTTATTTATGCATGCAAATTCACACGCCTTTACGACAGCTTCGGAACCCCTTACTTTGGCCCATTATGTTAATATCGGTGCATTAGCTTTCCAGGAAGTGAATTACTTTGTTACAACTTGTAATGAAGTTCATATTTAAAATAAGTTACAACAGCGACGTGAGCTGAATTTAAGCATTTCATGAATGCTTTACTAATGCTCCTAATATATCGTCTAATATCGATTTTATTATTGAAGTGCGCATGAACGGCGTTCCTTATTAATTGCGTGCCAGTTAAACGGATTAATGTGATTTTTGTACCTTTTTGTGTTACATGTAAGGATAATATGTACCTACTGATGATAATACAGAATAGCACGAAAAATTTCGAGATAACAAGCTTCAGCACCGTTAACAATCAAATCAAACTAGATATTTCAAATTAACCCTTACTCTGTAACTTTATTAGAGTTTGTAGAAAATTCCCTACTTAAATGAGCAGGAAATCTATGGCGAATATTTTAGATTTATTATTTTTTTGATTGACTTTTTAGGATAGTGGAGGGTTGGGTCACCATCAATAAAAAGAAGTCACTTCCATGCTCGCGAACGGTTAATTTAGAAATTCGAAAAAGATATTAAAGGTGTACGTTTGGAGCGCGGCGCTGTACGGGTGCGAAACATGGACACTGGGTGCGGCGGAAACGAAAAGGTTAGAAGCGTTCGAAATATGCTGTTACAGGTGAATGATGAGGATACCGTGGATAGATTAGGTTAGAAATGAAATGGTATTAGTATTTCTAATAGGAAATAGGCGAAATAGGTTAGTAGGACACCTTCTCAGGCATGAAGGTCTAGTCAGATACATATTACAGGCAGGAACAGGAGTTAAGAGGAGTAGAGGTAGACCTGGATTAGATTACTGTTCGCAAATAGTTAAGGATGTGGATTGTTAGATTAGCTGAGGATAGGAAAGAGTGAAGGTGCCTGTCCAACCAGTCTTAGGACTGACGACTTCATGATTATTACCCTTTTCTATTTCCAATATGTCTCAAAAGAAGAAGAAGTTAGTAGATTTTTTAACAAATAATTGCCTTAAAAACAAAATAAAATTAATGTTATGAAACGTGAAATAAATTGCTTAATTTTTCTTCTGAATTGTGAACCAAAATTCTGTACACGTCGCACTCACAATTTTTGTTTCCTTCTCGCGATAACTTAGTTTTTGTCAGTGACAATTACATCTTTCCTCAGTGTCCCCAGCGACCTAGGACGAAGATTAGCCCATAATTCACTTGTTGCAGTCCTTTCTCGAGCTGGCGGTGAAAAATTATAGCGTGAGAAATTCTAATTATCACTTTAATTCTCATGTTAGAAAAAAGCAAGCTGGAGACCACGTAACTCGTAAAATGAATGTATCGCAGTTACAGATTTCTAAAACTGCTGCGCTATTACAGTAATGGCTTCGACTGGGAACATGCGTCTTCTAAATCCTTGACCGTTTAAAATACACGACGCTAATTGAGCACTTTTCTTCCAAATTACAACATCCTTACCGAGTCATTTTCGTGCCTTAATTATTCAGTACAATGGTCGGATATTTTTAAAAAATAATTGCTCAAAGAACACTGCTTAATACTATTATTAACTTCACATCACTTGTGAGAACGACATTGTTTGCGGTTTTGTCTTTTTCTTTTGTCTAATCGTCACAATTATTTTCTTGTAGAACTCGGAAGAAGTGAAATTCTAAACGCATAGTGTCGGATGGTGCGTAAAAATTTAGACAATTTCTTTTGAAAAGGGAAATACTACCTATATACTATCCTTGTTTTGGTTAATCACAATTACAATGTTTTTGTGATATACAAAGTTAATAAAAAATGAAAAGGTTAGAAGCGTTGGAAATGTGGAGTTACAGGCGAATAAAGAGGATACCGTGGGTAGAGAAGGTTAGAAACGAGAAATAGAACAAAGGTCGATGTGGAAGTCAATAAGAAATAGGCGAAATAGGTTGGTAGGATACTTTTCAGGCATGAAGGGATAGTCAGACACATATATAGATAGCTAAGAATGTAGGATGTTCTAATTTTAGGGAAATGTAAGGATTAGCACGGGGTAGGAAAGAGTGGAGGTGCGTGTCCAACCAGTCTTAAGACTGACGACCTTATGATGAGAGGCGAATGATGAGGATACCGTGGGTAGAGAAGGTTAGAAACGAGAAATAGAACAAAGGTCGTTGTGGAAGTCAATAAGAAATAGGCGAAATAGGTTGGTAGGATACTTTTCAGGCAGGATAGTCAGACACATATTAGAGGCAGAAACCGGAGTTAATAGGAGTAGAGGTAGACCTACATTATATCCCTGTTCACAGATAGCTAAGAATGTAGGATGTTCTAATTTTAGGAAAACTTAGAAAAATTTAAATGAGTTACTAACGAAAAACTGGGAAATTCAATCACAATCATGTTTTTACCATAGACGAAATTGCAAAACAAACAATAAACAAATGGTAGCATTATTTAACCATAAATATAATTAACACCAATTTTCATAGAACGTTCGCATATCTACGTAAATATTTTACAATTTGCGAGTAATTTCCATTTTAAATAGGGGTACCTACCTGTTATTTTATACTGCATTTCCGCAATCATCAAGCTTCATTATTGGGGGCGGTAATAATTTTCAATTAGGTAAGAACTTAAATTCTTAAAGCCTCATAAAATGCACTGTTCCTCGTGGCAATAACTTGAAATACTTGACGTGACAACTGGTCTTTTATTAAAACGGTTTGTGAGGCGGTTTTAACTGATCGTGAAACAAAAATTTCCAGACTTGAATGTACTGTATAAGAACAGGAATAGAATTAAGGCATTTGAGAGGCTATAATTTGGGGTTGTCCCTTTTCAAATGTCTTATCAGAAAGTCATGCACAAACGGTTATAATTTTCAGTCCTAATGATATGTAAATTATTATCAGTTACGATAACTCGTTTTTAGTAATCATGAATAGACGTTTTGAATTGATTTAATCCTTCTTATTTCCCCTGTAATCCTTGCGGTTTATTTCGTTTAATATTGTTTAATTTAAGGACCACCTGTTTTACGTTTGCTTCTCTTTATGGGCCTAGAGTCTTTTTTCACCTTAACCTATCTATATATATATGGTACTGTACATATACCAACTAGGGAAACCTCTGCCACAACTCGGTTTAGGTTGGGTCGGTGGTTAGCATTTCACACATGTAAACCAGGTTTCCCCATATACCGTAACCTTTTTTAACTTAAAGACCGAATATTAAGATTAAATTAAAAATTACAACACACTAATAATAACAGAATTGTAAAAAATGCTTATTAAGCTTACTTCAGAATGAAGTTGTGTCACCGAGATAAACAGTGAGTTACGATAAAATAAGCCGGTTATGTGTTCAAATGTTAAGACAGTGGACTTATGGTAAATCAAATCATTGTTATTCGGTATTCCTATGTCCAAATTAGAATGCAATTGTAAGTTGGAGTGAAAAATGTCATCAATTGGTTTGATCAAACAGTTTGTAAAGGCATTTCTACTTGACCAATGGTGATTATTTCATGTTTAGATATCGAGGTCATGATCTACATAGGTTTTAAGCATATAAAAAAATCGTAAGGACACAAAAAATTACTTTTTAAGAAAAAAGTCAATTCAAAAATCACGTTCTTTTTGTTTATTTTCGATTTTACCATGCTTTAATATTGTCGGAGATAACTTTAACTAACACCATCGAAANACCATATGAATATCGTTTTCTATTACTTTTAAGACAATTACGACAAATATTAACAATTTAAGAAAAAAACTTTTCAAAAAAAAAATTTCGCAGACCTGTGTAATTTTTGAAAAAACACAAAATTCGTGATAGTTTTTGAACAGATCTCGTATAGTGATGGTGATAGTAACTTCAATGGATAAATATTGTTGAAGAGGGAACATTAGAAAAATGTTATTTTACTTCTGTCTCTGTGGATAATGTAACTTGCTAGACATAAGTATGTATAAGTAAAGCTTTTAAGTCCTTTTAGATGACATTTTCTTAAAATTTCCAATGTCTTTCGTAAAGTAATGTTCCGTACGTTGCAGATTTTTGTAATTTTAACATTTCTTCAAGATATTCTCGTCGATAAGCCGTGACGGTCGACTAACTCTATACCGACACTGTTTCCGGTCCGTTCTTCCATCTTATTCTTCTCACGATACCACAATTCATCAGCGCGAATTCACGTGAAATGTTCATCTCGATCACGTGCTCTCCAACTCTTTTCCTCTCCATATTTTCCTTTAACGACCTTGTTAAATATGTATCGTATATGTCAAAAACAGTGCGGTTCCTATTCTGTTATTACTTCCTTGTAAATACGGCCCTGCAAAAGTTTAAACCTACAGTACAGAAATTGTTCAAATGTCTGATTTGGTTGATACGCTTTTATGATTGATTAAATGATTACAAAACTTTGTGAGTGTTGTTTTCTCAGATATTTGGACTGTTTGCATATTATCCAGATGGTTTGCAAACCAGCCAAGTAAGCATATTAACCGTGACGATTGTTTTGTCAAAAGCGTTATTGAATTTGGTTAAATAATGTATCGATTCCATGCTTGACTGCTTAAAATTTAACTTGCTGCCGATTAATTAATTAACAAATACCTACATTAAAAGTAGCCTTATCACCATTTTAAACGTTTATTAATAAAGCAGCATTGGTACACATGCACCTGTTAATTATTTATCTATTTTAGTATATAGCATGTTTTGTATTTGGTAACGCGTTTTAATCAAATAATAAACAGACGATTCCGGGCACGATTTTCATTTTAATAATCCTTCGTTTTAATGTTTGCATTTGATCAATAAAATTTGCATTTGTTACATAACGATGGTCAGCACATTTTAATAATAAACATGATTATTTATTGTTAATTCTCTTTGATGCAAGCCAGGAATGCATTTAATCATAATATGTCACACGGATACTCTGTTTCGACATGTTTAATTATTACATCATCGGGGAAAGACGGCTCAACAAGAATCCACTGCTGTATGTTAGAGTTCTTGAGTTATAGTAGGTATCGTGCTTTATGAGAAGGACTAGTACAAAGTTTATAAAACTCTAAAATCTTATAAAAGTATAAAACTAATGACGTATCTTTTTTACTATTCATTCTCGTTGTGTATTATGATTTGTTTTGCTTTAAATAGCTTTACAAACTTCAATAAAGTTTAAAAATAATGATACTAGTTGTTGTTAATGTATGTGAAGTGCATAAAGCGATGACGTTTTCAAGATTTTTATATTCGTTTTATGATTAAGGCCTTCTGAAATTAGCAGCTACTTGAGAGTTGGGGTTTATGGTCATTTTTACAACTTTTCGTTATAGAGCAGAATCGTGAAAAATCGTGTATTATAGTAAAAACTTTTTATTACCATTTCTTGCCCTAATGCATTTTAAAACTTGTAAAAGAACATTGTTACTAATAATACCTTTTCATCGTAATTATTCTCAATCCTGTAACATATTAATTGAATCATTGTTGCACTGTGTAATGCAGTTTACAAGTATATATATTTCATTCCCTGTTCAATAAATCAAAATGTTTTCATAGAGCTAATTGCTTTCTATAACTTCATCAGAAACATGTGCTAAACTAAAATTAATATGTATTTACATATTCCAATCTGTTTTTATAATGATAAAATAATCCATTCAGTGTTAATCAATTCATTCGTTTACCTGGTATTAAAAAGTTGAGGCAGAAGTATTTTTGTAGGGTAGTTTTAATTGATTAAAGTAAATTAGATTTTCAATTAATGATTTTTACCACTACACATAACCTGAAATTAATAAGAAAAATTGTTCCTGAAGTCGAGCCCTCGCCGGGAATCGAACCCAGTTCTTGACTTATGCACCATTGCTCTACCACTAAGCTACGAAGGGTGACAGTACCTATACAAACCTAACTACGACGATTCGACGACCTGCGTACGTAGTCGTTGTTGCTGTTACTGCTGTTACATCTTCAGGCTTAATGGTGGATAAAGCGGGGGACCGGGTTCGATTCCCGGCGAAAGCGTGAGAGCGGTAACAATTTTTTTTCTCATCTGAAACTTTTAATAGAGAAAATAAAAGAGGAACAATATACCTAATTATTGAATACATACATATCCAGAGAGTCTTAAACTAGATTTCGGATACTTTCATGTGTAAAAACATAGTCGGTGCCTGTTTAATAGAAACAGGTCAAAAAGGAATGTGGTGTATGGTGATATCATTCATGTGGCAAGGACAATCTGAATTTCGAGACTCCACTGAATCCAAACTTTGCAAATGGAGATTAACGGGATTTCCGTTTGCACTCCTTTTCCCAGTTTATCCCCCGATATTACATCGGGGACGAGAGTAAGTGTACCTACTACCGAGGTCCGACCGGAGCGGCGCTGGAGAATGGGCGTTGATATAGTTTTGTACGGGTGCGGTCGCAACTCTACCTCGTTTAGTATGCACACCGCAACGGCTATTTAACTACATCACGTACGATATCGAAACAACAATTTCGCTACCGGTCGGCCGCTGCCAAGCCGCACAGTCCGAAAATGTTTATGTATGTATCTCTGAACAAAATGACTCTCGACATTGCTGGCACAACAACAAAACGTGTCCGGTATAAATTATCCGCATCGATATTGAAATTAGACAAATGTTTGGAGAAGTGCTTGCTTCCTACGTTCTAATTTGTTTCACAAACTTCCGAATCTCCTGTCGGTTCATCCATCGATTTATATCGTTGGCAACAGTGAAGTATCTGTACATTTTATGAGACAAATTATTGATCCGTTGAGCTCTTAGGGGTGGGGAAAGCTGTATTTTGAGCGTCTTCAATACTACATAATACCTAACGAGTGAGCAAGTATTTTATTCTGCTCACGACCGACAGCGGCATATCGACAAATTTTGTATCGTAGCAAATTGCTGTATTACAGGACATTGCGGTTTCGCGGATTATGTATGATAAACAAAATGGACTAAAAAGTCGATGCCTCAGTTACGTTTAAGTGAGTCATCATAATAAAACCTTTGTAATTAATAATACGCATTTATCAATTAATTTCCAATGGAAAATCCGTAATTTTCTAATAACAACATGTACAGGTTTTGATTAGGTACAATTAGAAATATTGATGAGATTCTAAATCATGCAGTAATTTGCAACTGAAATCTGTGTCGTTCCTGAGATTTTTATGTAGTTATAAAAACTAAAGGTATCATCTGTTCATTTTTAAGATGTAGATAATAGTGGTGAACTTATTGTATGACCTTGGTACCTACTTACATATAAACAGCCCCTTAATTATTTTAGGTTGAATCGAGTATATAAATCGAGCATAGTTTAACATATTTTTACCAAAGGGTCGCGCAACAAGCCAAAGAACTGATAACTTGTCAATAATGTTTCTTACAAACTGAAACTTTTAAAACTTAAAGAAGTTTGAACATTATGTGAAAAAGGCGAACCAAGGCGATCTTACAAAGTTTGACTTTCGTTTTGTTTATAATTGTTCTCATAATAAGGATTGTCATTTTAAAGCATTTCAATGTTAAGCTTTTAGGTCCGGAGAAACTTAAACCAACTTTAACATGACCAAATTTAACAAAAAAAAAAAGTTTCTGACTACGTTAATAACATTTCATGTCGAAGAATATGCTATTATAGTTAAGCTTCCTAAAAGAAAAGACAGTTACGAAAAAATCCCTTTCCAACCCCCAAAAATTGTATGGCTTACAAAGAACATACTTCAGTACTGTTTAATATTGTTTTTGTATTTTTTAAATAGATAAATCTACTAATAATACCAACTGTTTTGGATTTTTGTTGTGGCAAATCGTTAGGAGAAATGTAATTAATTAATAAATCTTTTGTTTCAGATTGAATTACCATCCTGAGAAGGGTGTTTACGACCTGTTAATATCAAACGCGAGCTACGACCGAGATAATGGCAAATTCGAATGTAAGGTTAAAGCGGGCGGATCGGGGGCTAATTTACATGCCCAACGGTACACGCTGACCGTGTTGACGGTACCTCACCAACCCGAAGTTGCCCAAGGGACCTACGTGACTGCCACCGAAGGCAAACCACTTAACCTCACGTGCTCCACCGTAGGCGGCTCTCCGGACCCTAGCGTACGATGGTACAGAGATGGTATGTTTGCTTTTATCTTTATTATTTTTTTCGTGACACAAAAAAGAAGGTTTACGAATGCTTTTTCGGCTCAGCTTTTCAATTGTTTTGGGAGCATTCATTAATTTATTATTCAATTTTAGCCAGTTTGAATTCGAAAGGAAATTTTATTTGTTCGGCGTTCGTTCGTTTTAACTTCTGAAGAAAATTTTAAGCGACGTTTCTTTATTTACTTTTCAAGCGCTGTTTATGCTTAAGTGTTTATACTTTTTCTACTGACGTCGATTTACACTCGTCGGCTAATCAATTTTTGTTAGATTAGACATTTCCTTGCTTATACGAAAATAGTACTTCCTCTTCGAAAAAGCAAAGTACATTTCGAATTAATGGAAGAAAGACACGATACTGATCATCATAATTAATTCAAGTTTTTGGATTCTTATTTGTCCAATGAATTTTTGTTATATTCCCTGTATTAATGTAATACAATCTTGTGGAAATAGTAAACTATATAGGTACCTACATATCTACAAAATATAAAAAAGTGATTGAGATTGACAGAGCCGCGAAATGGGTTTAGTATTCTCGATGGATACTAAGTTTATAGCATTCCACCATTCGTAATTATTTACAGATGCAACGAATGGTTTCTTAAGGGAAGACCGTAATTATTACGAGTCGAGGAAGTGTATCCTACAATGGCTGCGTGATTATATTCTTCGTGAAATTACCATAAAAAGTACTCCTCCGCAACTTGCACATTGCCGGTAGCTTTATCACAGATAATTGTAATGTTGCTTCACGATAAAATGGAAAATTTACCGTTCCCTTAAAAATTTACTAGTCCATGCTATTTTCTAAATCTTTTATATCTACTTATCTACATATATGTATAGAAAGTCAGCGATGTCGAAGTTTAATTGCTTTCTAAAACGTATTTTAGTTTCAAATGATACCAAATTCGATCGATATCATTTGATATGGGACGGATTAAAAACCAATGACTTATTTGACTTTGAAATCGCCCACTGTAAAACTAATATATTAATTCAAATGTGTTCAGTAATTAACAATAAATTATAAGACAGGTTACTGTTGGATAAATGGATTACACGAAGCCATTTCGTCGATCGGTTAAGGTAGTTTACGTATTTTGCATCGCTTATTGTTCTAGCCAACATTGGTTTATCGCATCAAAGATGTGTTGTTTGAATAGGGCTGATGCGCAGCGTTGTATTAATTACGGGGTAATTACAGCGTGTTTACCTTCAAAGAAATTCCATTTTGATGTGGTTTTCAACATTGGCTGCTTCCTAGAATAGGCAACTGTGAGTAGGTACATGACAAATGAATTTCGTTATTATTGGCAAAAAAGCTTATGATCCTTTGCAAACTGACAGTGTGATTAACAGAGTGCACCACAAAAGTTATTTATGTACTTAAAATGGATGTATATTATCAATGCAAAGTATATTTTGTAATAAGTAAACTGAGCATGATTATAGGATTATAGACCTGTTATTATTGTCCCTCAAATATAATTTTCTTTTGGACCAATCCGTTTTGTGTTTTACGCATTAGGCACTAGAAGAATACATCACATGCATTAAAACAGACACCCTTCGAAATAAATATACTGTTACCGAGATTTTTGTCAGTGTTTGTACATCTGCTGCAAACGTAATGCTGTTTAGATACAGCGGGCGTCGAAACCATTTTCGCTGGTTCTACAGATGAAGATACTGTACTTTCAGGTTCATCATTAACTGTGATAAGTGAAAGGATTCGGCAGGATCTTATTTTGTATCTGACCAAAATTCTTGATCACAATTAAGTGTTGATATTCACCATGTTCAGATCTTCGTTCACTCTTAAATGTACTCATAATTTAAAGAAACTCTTAATTGGATGTTGATCGAAATTGAACTGTTTTTTTTCATATTTTTGTCACCGAGATTTCGCGTTATCAATCGTGGTCGTTGTTCCACGTCCTTCCTCTCTCCCATAAACGTTTTGGGTCATTTAAAAGTCCTTATCTTCAACATGACGTTCTTCCCGTAAGTTTCTAAAATTCTGGTAGGAGTTTCATTAGGTTGAATTGTACTAATTAAAATCTTAAATCAGACACTTCTCACTAAAGGCTTACCTTACAAAAGTCCTGCTTCATCTCATCCTATTCGCTAGGAAATGTTATTCCCAACACTAACTGGAGAAACCCTGTATAAGTCATGGTTTTAAAATTATATTTCAAAGCTAGGAACATTGACATAGAAACTGATAGAAGAAGAATAGAACATATCCCGAGATAAAAATGTTCAGTCTCTCAGAGTCTCTGAAAGCGAGACCCAAGTCTCCGTCTCTCATCGAGTCTCTCTGGTGTCGCTGAAAGAGACTGTCGAGAGACTGTCAAAAAAACTGTTTAGCGTCTCTGAACGAGAGACTCGAAACGCTCATAGAGAGATCCTCATTTCGTATCCAGTCTCTAAACGAGAGACTCCAATCTTTCAATAAGTTCAACATATTTCAGAGATCCCTGTCTTTCTACGAGAGACTCGAGTCTCTCAATTTTTCAGTTTTATTCATTCAGTCTCTCTGTAAGAGACTCGAATCTCTGAATTAACAATTTTATCGTTCGAGTCTCTCATACAGAGACTGTGAGAGATCCATAAAAACACCTAGGCAATAACTGAGAAACTGAGAAAAACTGTGAGAGATGGTCTCAGAGACGCTGAAAGACTCTGAGAGACTGAAAATTTTTGTCTAGGGATGTTCTTAGTGTTTATGTATTCATTATTTAATTGCATTTGAATTAGTCCGAAATAGTTTATTATAAAAGAAACCTATATCTACGTAAATTAAACAGTAAAAGAAGCAGAAACATTTCGAGATTATCCGATAAAGTTGGAGCAGAACTGTTGCATGGTTTTCCGGTTTTAAGTTCCTTAGTTATTATCCCCAGTTCCACGATAAACGTACGTACGTTACCTTGAATTAATTAATGGTTAGTAGGACAAAGGCATTTCGTTCTCTAAGCTCCCGTTAAGGAGAAGAATAATTGCAGAATACGTAGTTCAAAGCCCTACGGTTTTGCCCACATCTCGTTATGTATACCTACCTACATGTCGTAATCAACCTATCCTGCTTACTGATGGCGGAGCCGCATGAAAGGCTTCCTCTTAATGCCGACAAAATCGTGATCGATTATTGCACGATTATACGGAAAAATAAACGAGAACCACTCCACTACTGCCTACTGGAAAATAGAAGTAGTGCTTTTTTTTCGAATTGCTCATTTTCACGAAAATAACTCGACACCACTACTCATACTATACGGTAACTTTTCATGCATGCGTCTCCATTCGTTGATACGCTATGCGCCTGTACTTAACCTAATAAGTCTGATGAAAAGGTAGAAAAAGAGATTCTCAGTACAATTCACGTGGCATGAGATTATGTGTATTCAGTTTTCAGTTCACGGTTTTTTTCAAAACGAATGTTCTATTTAATTATTCGCTTTTTCTACTTATACTGTCTTTTTATTTACATATACGTACTTTGAATCTAGTATGAGTGCTCGGCTCATATACGTATGTACATATATACTTAATTATATTACGCAACGAAAGCTGATATAGTATCTTAATTGAATTTTAAAATTTGGTATTCTAGACATTTATTTATCCTATAAGTATATATAAAATGAGCACCACCGAGACCAGGCATACTATACTTATCCTGATCCTGCGCTATTTTCTAGCAGCATGGATGCAGGATCAAAAAAACCAATAAATGATACATTTTTCTTTTTATCTCAAATTAAGCAGTATTGTATAGCACAAAACACCAATTTTACTCTCTCCCATTAGAACATCCCTGAATTGAAGAAGTAGAATTTATTCACATCAGAATTTTGCCAAGATTTGAATAATGTTATTCCTCATAGAATCATCATCATAATAAGGTCATCAGTCCTAAGACTGGTTGGACACGTACCTCCACTCTTTCCTATCCTGAGCTAAACTTCGCATTTCCCTAAAACTAGAACAGCCCACATCCTTAACTATTTGCGAACAGTAATCTAATCTAGGTCTACCTCTAC